TAAGAACCAAAATGCATTATGTAAAGGTACAATTCCCAATGAGAAATGTAATTGTGTTGTATACCTACAATGTACCAATAAAAGAATTTAACAAAAAAAAAAAAAAAGAAGAAGAAGTATAGTCACTTAGGTAATCTTGATTAAATGGAGATCAAATGGGGAAGCTAATCTCCTATCAAGTATGCATGGAATGAACAAGGATTTTCTGGGAAGGAGTGGGCTCAGGAGGTTTTTTGTCCTCACTCAAGGTGACTGATACGTATTTAGAATATCAATCACTGCTGTTCATCCCTAGGAGAAGAATCTGGGTGTAGTAGTTCCTCTTTTTCTTCAATCCTGGCCTTCAGTGAATGTGATTCTGGCCACAATTGTCTTCTGTGGTGAAGGCCCAGCCCTGCCTAATTGCCTTATAATATTTTCTGACTAGCTTAGCTGTCTACATGCAATAGTATCTAAATTCTTTCTGCCCTGAGCAAAGAATTGACCAAGACAAGCAAAAAGGGTAGCCAAGTTTTCTTAAAGGTATGAAAAGAAATAGGCTCTGCAGTGAGAGTTTGGGCCAAGCAAAAGTAGGACAGCAAGGACATCCTACAACATGAGGGTGGGCTATTCATGCAAGTTCGAACACAGTGGTAAAAACTCAGTGTGGACTATCCTTTTTCTGTCACTCACTCCTCAGGCTGAAGTCAGGTCCAAGCCATCCTATTGAAAACCTGCTCCAGTCCTCACAAGGTGTCCATGTGCAGGACTTTGGAAACTGCTCAGCGCAGGAGTTCCCAGACCTTGTCACACCTCCTTTCCCAGCCAGTTTTAGCCATGTGCTACTGCCCTGTCTCACTACTGTATTACTGTGGACAGCTAAGTTAGTTAGAAAATATTGTAAGGCAGTTAGGCAGGGCTGGGCCCTCTGCACAGAAGACAATTGTAGCCTGAGGCCCATTCACTAAAGGCCAGGCTTAAAGAAAAAGAACAACTACACCCACATACTTCCCTTGGGGATGAACAGCAGTGATTGATATTCTAAATCAATCTACTGCTATCACCTTGAGTGGGGACCAAAACTTCCTGAGCCTTTCCTTCTGAGAAATCCTTGTTTAGATCACGTACACTCCCCATTTAATTAATATTACCTAAGCAACTATACTTGTTGTAATCTTGTTGGTTGATTATAGTTTTGTCTCACTTTGGTTTTTTTTAATTAAATTTTATTTTATCCCATTTCCCCTTACTTCATTATTTTCCATTGGATCATATTACCTAGGGGAAAAAAAATTAAGCGACTATACTTGTAATCTTATTAGTTGACTGTAATTTTGTTCTACCTTGTACCTGCCTTACCTCATGGCTTTGCCCAATAAAACACCATTTAGAAGCAGGGTGGGGTGGGGCAACCCACTTCCCAGTGCCCCTTCTGTCTCTCTTAGACAGAAGCTATTTTTCTCTCAATAAATTCTTCCTACTCTTAACCTCCATTGTTCCTAGAATTCATTCTTCAATTTTAGAGAACATGAACTTGGGATTTCAGGTATCTAGCAGTTTGGGTGTTACAATATTTCCCTTACATTATTTGGAGGTCCTATATCATGTGCCCTATATTGATGTCTCTGGCAAAATTTGTGTATTACATTTAAATGTAGTAAGAATATTGCCTGGGACCCTAAGTCTCTTTAAGAATTTACTTTGAGCTGGGCTTGGTGGCATATCCCAATAACCAATGTGGGACTGCATAACTCTGTAATCATAAAACTCCCCTAGCACCAACTGTGATTGAATGTGAGTAAATAGATAAAGATGCTTGTTAGCTCTGGGACACTAGATAAGATCTGTATCAGCCATAAGGTTCCAAAGTAAATTACTCAACTCTTTGTTCAAAAACTGATGTTCGGGACACCGCTATCTATAG